GAAATGAGAGAACAGACCCAGGTCCCCACCCATCATCCCCCTCCTCTCTCAGCACCTTTGTGTACACACAACCAAGCCCCTACCAGTCTCTAACAGCACAAAGTTTCAAGAAGTTAAGTGACCTGGGGATATCAAAGAACAAGAACACACTTTTCATAGAAACTGGTTAAATCGAGGTTCCCTGGCCAGTGACTTAAATCGACTGGACTTAAATCAAACCCACCCTACTTGGAGATTTTCAAAAAGACCCGGGTAGGCGCAGCCTTGGCTGGGAGGACGGAGCTGGGGAGGGCGCAGCTTTGGGCGGGGGGAGGACGGGGCAGACAGGGTCCCCTCCAGCCCCCAACTCGCTACGGCTCTGCCCGGTCGTCCGCACAGCCCTCAGACCGGAGCCAGCGACTCCAGCACGGGGGTTTCCACGGGAGACCTCCACCCGCCTCCAACAGCTCCGTGCCACCGCATCCCCGCTCCCGCCGCCGGGCACGAGGCCCCCCGGGCGGGGCGGGCGGAGCAAGAGCGTCAGAGAAGACCGCCCCGCACCGGCCGAGCGAGCCACCGCGGCCTCCCCCGGGGGCGGGCCCCGCCTCCTACCAGCAGCGCGAGGCCGAAGAGGCACCAGCCCGTGAGCAGGTCGACCGCGGCAGTCGCCATCTTCGCTTCCGGCCGCGCAGCAACACCGCCCCGGGGCGGGGCACTTTAAGGGAGGCGGGAGGAGTGGCGTCGGTTGCCATGAGCACCGCCAAACAACCACGCGTCGCACAGCGTCTCGCGTCACCGCCCCGGCGGCCAATGAGGGGAGAGGGCGGAGCGCAGGGGCGCGAATTGCCCGCGGCGGCTCGGTCGCTCTCTTCCCTAGGTGCCCGTGCGCGGCCCCAGCCCTGGGAGCGCGGCGGGGCGGCGGGTCCAGTAGAGGCAATCATGGTGGGGGGCAGGGTCCCGGGCCGGGCCGGGCCGCGGGGATACTCAGCTCTTCCCGTCCCGGTCTCTCCAGAGCTCCTCCCCGTGCCTCAGTCCCCAGGCCCCTAGTTTTTCCCAGCCTGGTCCAGCCCTGTCACCTGTATCTCCCCAGAACCCGCCCCGCCCCCCGGGTGTCCTGCCCCACACCTTCACTGACCTATCAACAAAGCTGGGCAAAACTTTGGTGAGGCTTCCTGGCTGTAGGCTAAGATCAAATGGGGGCATCCAAATCCCAAAGCCTCCGGGTTTGGGCCTGCACGTAAGACCCTGCCAATGGGTTTGCGAGTCTCCGAAGTCCCAGAGTGAGCGCCTGGGATGGAGGATGCTGGCTGGTTGCAGCGCCATACGTGGCATTTACAACGATTGAGTTCTGCCTGCTCAGCCGACACCGTTTTTGGAACAGTTGAGTTCTGCTCAGTCGATATGATTTGGATCATGGGCAACTGATGTCTCCTGGTTCTGGGGGAGCACCAGCAGCTGGCCGGGGGGTCTCCCAGCAACCGATTGCTGACCGGGGGGAGTCCCCCAGCAACCGATCGCCAACCCCAGAAGCGCCGGCAGCAAAACCTGAAGTGCCGATGGCACTCCTCTCGGCACCCCAACTCGCCGGCCGGCGCCGATCTTGGGGAGGCACTGGCCAGCACTTCCCTTGGCGCTGCCAGCCCACGAGGGCCTATCTTGGGGGGGCAGATGCAATCCTACATGCCCCTCCTACACGTTGCCTATGATTTGGAGCTGATTTGGCTGGTATGACCTGGAACATGAAATAGAGTAATTAAAAAAAAAGACTGGTGAGGCTGGAGGTCCAGCTAGTCCTGCAGGTTGGCAGGCCTGGCACTTAACCCTTCATTTCTTTGTGCTCCAACTAAGAATGGAAAGCAAGTCATGCCATACCACCGCAAGGTGAACACAGCATAGACAGACGTGCCTCAATAAAACCAGGAGTCCATCACAGCTGATGACCTGTGGAAACCACCAATTAGCCCGGGACTACTTTGAATCAGAAGTCTCTGCTAAAAGTGATGATAGTGGATGCTTTGGCCAGTATTCATTTTAATCCTCCAAGAACGTAATGTAATAGCCATAATCCCTATTACTGGTGGTTCTCTGATTCTGTGGCCATAGGAATGGACAAGGAATTCTGTGCGTTTCTCTCCCTAATCACAAAGTCTGCAGGCCAGAGAATCTGTCGCAATGTATCATAAAGTCCCCTTCCCAATGCTTGTGGGAGGGGAAGGCATGAACATGTGCTAATACTGGGAACTCCCCCTCTTTTGAGAGGGAGAAGGAATGTACAGCCTCCAAGACTCTGGCAGCTTCAACCTACAAGGAAACACTATACCTACATGCCCATCCACCCCCTCCTATTTCTTGCTAGCCTCCAAGTGAATTGTGTGTCTGCTTTGCTTCCAAGAAGTCTGGTGATTAGTAGGCAAACACAAGGCAATGGCAAATCTTTAGAAATCCTTGTCTAAGATTGGAAGAAAGAGAGGGTAAGCAACAAAAACACAGAAGTAGGTGGGTGACAATTTCAGTACATTCATTTGTTTCCAAAATGATTACATGCAGTTCCCTGCTGCAGAATCAAACATTATTTGCCAAAGAGCTCAAGGTTACACTGTATTTCTGATGTCCAGCATATTTATGACCTTCTTTGGGAATCTGACATACATTTAAAGATGCACAGAGCTGATTTTTGGAGATGTTAAATCAACAACCTGCTTTATATTCATGTCCTTAAAGTAATCAAGATGCATGTTTTTTATCCTATTGGGAATTTAACCCATGGTCTCTGCTTTCATTCTTACTAGTGTTATTTTATTCAGGCAAAGAATTTCAGTTATGGGAAGAAGATACTTTTCCTCTAGCATCTTGTGACCAAAGACAGTTGCTTATGGTTTGAGGCCTGAGCACTCTTTTTTTATAATCAAAGGCCAAAGTATTATTTTATTCTTCTTTCTCAGGTCTCCTGCAGTTATTTACTTCTAAAAGTGAATTTTCTTGAATCAGTGCTTCTTATCTATTGCTCTTTTCCTGCATTTTTATTATTTTCTCAGTTCTCTCTTCCATTGATTTTCTGAGGCTCCTCCCAACATTTTCCCTAATTCTTGCATCTCCTTTTCTCCATCCTCTTCCTTATAATTACTCCCTGCTGTCTTGTTTTTTTCTTCCTTTTGCCTGTTGCCTTTCACTTAATCTTTCTCATCTTGTCCTGCATCTTCCTTTTCACCTACACATTGTTTCGGTTTCTCTCCTCTTCTGTTACTCTTCTCTTATATTACTCTTCCTTCTTCTCATCAGCGTTATCCACTTCTTCATTTCCATCTCTATTTCTTGGTATGGCAACTGACATTCTTCTTATGTAAGTGATGCTTCACTTTAATCATGGAAAAATGTGGATGGGGGGAGGGTTTAACCAAAAATTGGGATTTTTTTACATCAGAGAAAACCAGGATCCCTGGTTATGATGATGGAGCTATCCCAGTAACCACCATTATGTAAACACCTTACAGAGCTCTTTGATTAGATCTTCATCCCTGTAAAATTCACTTAATGGACTTTAAGCACTGCAAATAATTATGCAAACAGTAAGTACAGTTGTGAAGTTGAGCACTGAGGGGTGTTTAGTCAGTAATGCTGAAGAAAGCTTTGCACAGCTGATGAGTTTTCAGAAGCTTCTAATGAATGGCTAATAGGGTTAACTGAGATAAAACCTTGAGGCCTCGTGTGTTACAGTCACCTCTAATGTCAGAGAGAAGCCATATATGGAAATGATTTCTTTATACATTGGGACAGTAGAATAACTGAGGTGGGGGCGACCTGGGCAGCAGCCCCAGAGGATGCCTTTGTTGGGACAGAGCACAAAAATAGCCACCACCACAGCAGTAGCTGATCACATCACTGTGATTGGCATGACAGGACCTGCACTGCCTCATGTGTCTGAGCTACCCAGGTACACCTCTGGTTTGGGAGGATTGGAGTGAATCTGTTTTGATGGCAGTCCCACAAGGTCACCTTAACCCACTCCATTAGGAGGAAAAGATATGGTTCACTAGCACCTCAAGTGGGCCAACCCCATTCATTTTAATTACTATTATTTCTTGTGCACCAACCTTACCTCCGGTGCTGTTTAGATAAAGATATCACCTTTGACTTGAGAATTTTCTCATATAACTCAAATAAGTAAAACTTGTAACCTCTTGCTTAACAAATAACAAGTGTTAAATACTTCCATATATGTGAAAATGACAAGGAAATTAAAAAGTCCACCAATAGCTACCTAGACTCCCTCCTACATACCAGAACTTTATGCAATTGTGTAGTTCAAGACTGAACTTTATATCATGATTTCATGTTAAGGATAACTTTACTCTTTTTTGTACCTCTGAAAGAAAAAATAGAAAAATCTTCATGCTTTCTGTTCTTAGGCTGTTTCACTGCAGCTGCCTATGTAAACAATTTGAATTAATATGTGTAAATATTTACTGAGGTTAAAAGATGTTAAAATGGTTCATTTTTTAATGATCACAACACTTCTAGTATTTTAGTATCCATTTCAGTCTGCCCAGTGAAATTATGTTATATTATGAAATGTAACTATACCTAGATTTTGGCATTGACTCAGTTTGCAAGGGAAGCAACTGTAAAATGTTTATGAAATTGCCATTATCTCTAAACTGTACAAGATGCTTTTTGTTATGAAGCTTGCAAATTAAAACAACAACAAAATCTATGAGAACAGAAAATATATTCATCATTGACCTCTAGACCAGTTAGAGACTATTAAAAAATTTAAATGAAACTCCAACTGAAAAAAAAACGTCTGATTAAAGGACTTTGCTTCTTGCATTCCTCACTAGCATCTTTTTAGCCTAGAATTATAATAGGTGTAGGGACATTTTCCAACTGGAGTAACTGAAAAATAAAGCCTGTATGTGACTTTCCAGGACATGACATAGGTAGTTAATGGTGGAGACAGGAATGCCATCCTGATCTTGTTTTCATACTCAGTGATTTATCTGCAAGGCCACCATGTTTGACACACAAGACTTCAAATACCCGTACTTAATTAGGCCAGCTAAAATACTGGGTTAATAATGCTGTTATCTATCTTAGTCAACTGCTTTGACATGGATCGACAAGAACCACTTCCACACGGTGATCCCTGGTAACGTTTCTAACAGCCAAGAACTCCCAAATTGACAAAAATGCCAAAGCACACAAAGATAAAGATATGGGAACTGTCATACAAAAGAAGAACTGCTTTTACATCCCCAAAAAATAAAAGCAGTATGAAAGTGGAAAATGTTATTGTGAGCCACATTTTTTTTCAGGTTGAGTAAACACCACAGTAAGATTTAGCCACTTGGCTGGGAAGTATTCTGATCTAGTGCATTAGTCACTGTTTTAGACAATGGGATTTTGTCTTGAATCTGACAATTTGCAATTCTTACCAACTTACTTTTTTAACTTTTACTGCAGAGCAAAGTTTGGTTATGTTATGAATGGAAGTATACCTGAGTTAACTATGTAGTGAACAGCCTTGATTTTCAGATAGTTGACTGTTACTGTGAAACAATGAAATTAAATTCTAAAAATGGTATTGTATTATTATAATTATCAATCAAGTAAGCATAAATGTGAGCAGTATTCAAGACAATGCTTCTTTGTTTTCCCCTTAGCTTTTACCCTGAAATTCCAGGGTCAGCCCAAAACATTACAAAC